AAAGGGCCTTTCAATTTTTTAATAGGTCAATTTATTTTAAGTTAGTTTAGATCTTTTTTTATTTTTTTTTTTGACTTAAAACATACCTAATATATTATACTAAACTATAATGAGAGGGGACCCCTTTTTTAGATCTATTTTGAAGGGTCCTAGGCCATAACCTGGTAGACCTATGTTCAGGACCAGCCCTGGTCAAAGTATAAGAGGTAAAGTAAAATTTATCCCATTAAGTAATCCCAGAGTATCATATTCTATATTGTCTACACAGTACTTCCAACTTAATATAGGGATAAAAAAACGTTACTAATGAGACAATGTTAACTCCCTTTTATTAAATAATTGAAAAATAAAGTAAGACTTAATATGTTTTGTTAATCCTTATTTATCGAGAAGGCCATATAAACAATACTATTTCGAGCCTACTTCATAATTTTTAGTTGATACCGGTGTAAAGTGCTCACAACTAATGAGTGCGGTTTGACTTAATCGCACTTGATCAGTTACGTAAGAGATAAGATCGGCTCTAATCGCGTCATTTTGAACAGCCTTATAAATTGTGAACATCACATGCACACACCACGAAGATGTTCCAATATAAATAATGAACATCACATGCACACACCACGGAGATGTTCCAATATAAATAACGACCTTAGGCCTCGTTTGAAAATATATTTTTTTAATAAGTTTTTAATTTTTTTGATTAAAATGCGATATAAAAAAAATTAATATATTTAAAATGACTTTTTAACTTTTTACGAAAAGATATGTAAAAAATAGAGAGAAAAGAAAATCTTTAATTTTTTAATATGAATTGTTGACTTTTTAATATTTTTAAGTAACTTTTTGACTTTCTAATTAAAATGGTCACTTGTCAAACGAAATCTTAATCAAAAAATGGATGAAGTCAATTTGACTGATTGTGGTCAGCTCAATCCCATCCGCCTCTTTTCTTATGAGCTTATTTGTTGAAAATACTACGTGTATGTATACATATAGGGATGGGTTTCTCACTGGTCAATTTTATGGCTTGGTTTGAAATGTTAGATATGTGAGGTTCATCATTAGTCTTGTTTTAATGATTCGAATCATTCAATGTGTAGAGTTTGACAACTAATTTATTCTTACAAAAAATCATGTTGATCGAATATCGATAATACTTTAATCGGAATACATTATTGTTTTTGATAAATATAATTTTAAAAATAAATTATTAATAAAAATATGTTCTGATCAAGAGGCTATTGATATTGATATTCAATCAACATAATTTTTTGTAAGGATGAAATACTTAACGAACTATGCACATTGAATAGTTCAAATCATCGAATAGAATTCATGGTGAATTTCATGGACCCAACAATACCGTTTAATCCACGAGATGAATTGGAATGAAACCCATTCCATATATATGTAATTGAGATGCCCCAAGATTACTAAATAATTTTCTATTGGCGGGTGTGTGTTTTGTGCATTTCTAAGAAATTAGCAAACCAACCCTAAGTGGACACCATTGATACAGATACATGTTGACTCGCTATGTTTTGAGGATGTAGAAATAGTATTCCTACACTTCTTTCTATACGCATGAGGTGTGACCAGTGATTTCAATCAAAGTTCCTGATTGAATTGACCAATGTCAGGGTTTCATTAGCAAACAAGGAAAAATAAAGGCTCTGTTTAGTAGATGTCTGAAATCGTAGTTTCATCTTTTAATTTGAGTGTAGCATTTGGTTAGCGTTTTTAAAAATTAATTTCATACTCACTTTTAAAAATACATCTACCCGGTTATTTCTTCGGACGTCTAGTTGGTTGACCGAAACAGTTTTTTTTTTTTTCTTTTTTGCACCTGTTATTTTTATATTTTAAATCAAAAATATTTTCGAAATTTTTTAAAATTTTTTATAAGTTTTGAATAGTATTTTAGATTGTGTGTTTGGTTAGACCATCTCCAACGGTAAACCAAATCCAGCATCAAATTCAAATTTTGATGAAAAACCTACTTTTTCAAGCTCCAACCGTTGCACCAGATTGATATCAAAATGAGATTTCAGCAAAAAAAAGCATCAAACTGAGAACGAGACACAGATTTTACCGAATCACTGTCGCTGACCGTTGAAAGAGGTACACCGGTCAACCAGTAAAAGATTCAAACAGTTCAGGAAAAAAAGTTCAAACCGTTAAAAAAAAAAAAAAAAAAAATTTGCCTAACCGGTCAACCGGCCGGTCGACCAGATTATGTTCACCAATACTAAATTCGATCTATTTGAGTTCTCTTTTATACTTAAGTTTGAAACTTACAATAATACAACGCGAAAAAGTTCAGAAAGTTCAAAAAAAAGTTCAGACAAGAAAAAAAAAAAAAAAAAAAAAATTTTTTTGCCTAACCGGTCAACCGGCCGGTTGACCACCCGGTTGTCCCGGGAGAGATTTGGTGAAAGGTGAACCGTTGGAGCGAGTGGTATTAAATTTAGTGAAATGGGTCATTTTTTACTCAAATTTGGTGAAAAATTTGAGTCACCGTTGGAGATGCTCTTATGAGTTGCAAGTTTTTAATCAAATATCATATGTCACATCATTCATTTCAAACTCAATTCAAAACTCATAGCCAAACAAAATTTTCATACTCAAATCATAATTCCAAAACTCATAAACTTAAAATACAACTCTATTATCAAATTATAATTCTAAAACTCTACTAAACGTTACCAAAAATTTTAATACAACGGAAATATCATATTATTATCGAATTGTGATATAATATATTGATAGGGCTATAATTCCCAAAAATAGCTAATGAAATTACAATCCCAGATATGGCTGCTATTTTGATATGGCTATAATTCTTCCAAATATATTGGAAGTAGAATGTCACCTCTACTGTTGGAAAATTTGATGGTCATCGTGTCTTCAAAATCTGGCGTTCAACTTGTCTTCGAAAGCTTCTACAAAAAAAATGATTACTCTAAGTCACACTACTACGACGTCACTTTCTTAAAAACGATATTTGCTTCATTAAGCCACGTTTATTTTGGGAGATAAAATAGAGAAGATTGTTAGTGAGGGAATTGATAGTGAGGGGATTGATAGTGAGAAATTGTTAAATTATTTTTATATAAAATAATAAAAAAAATATAAAAAAATAAACATTATATTTTTAAAAAAATTCTCAATATATAAAAAATTAAAAAAATTAAAAAAATTCTAATCCTCTCACTATTTTTCTAATACCATCTCTACCTCCTCCTTACCAATCCCTCTTCCTCCTCCTTACTAATACCAAGGGATTACTAATCCCCTCTCTATCTCTCAAAACAAACACTTCATTCTCAATCCCCTCCTCACTATCAAACCCAATCCCCTTCCCATAACCCCAAACAAACGGGGCCTAAATGGTTATGCAGCGGGTCAACAATAGATTTGCCTCCAATATACAATGAAGCTTACTCAAGAGATTAAATCTACTGATGTCTGCACAGACGACAGTAAATCAGAATAATCTTAATATAATGAAAAGAATCAAGATACTGATAATCAAGTCTACAAAAAATGATTATCAAAAGAAAAAAGAAACAAAACAAAAATAAAAACAAAGACATGCTTTGGAAATGTATTTCTAGTGAACGGTTACGATCAAACCGCTCCAGATGGGACACGCAGTTATACGATTAGTTTGGTTAACTCACTACCAATGTACACCACGTCACTGCCACACGTAGCTAACCATGTCACCATGCCATCGTCGTAACCTTTCTGTAGAAGGGATGCACATCCTTACGGTGAGAGCATATTAGAATTCATACCACTATTCAATATTCAAAAGAATATATTGGGTAACTTTTTATTTAGAACTTCATCTTTTGCTCTCTTTTTAGTATGGGACAAATTTCCAAAACTTGATTCAAGTTTTCCCAAGGAAAAAGAAAGGTTCTGATCTACTAGTTCACCGGATACTAGCACAAAATGATAGATCTCAGTATTTGGTTCACTGGAATAAAATGTAAAATAATAATCATTCTATTAAAATATTCATTCTCATAGTTTGTTAGACTAAAAAAATAATGACAACTGTATTACAAATAAAATCATCTTCTACCATTTTAAAGGAATAATCATATCATAAGAAAGTTAAGGAATTATTATCCCATTCAATTCCATCTTATTTTAATAAACCAAGTAGAGTACAACAACATGAATAATATTATGTTATTGAAACATTTGAGATTTTTGGGGTGCCACATAACCTTTCTCTAACAGAATCCAAAAGCTTATGGGATTGTCAATAGATTCACACAAAAATAAAATAAAAAATTGAGATTCTTAGAATGTGTTTAGTTTATGGATTTGAAAAAAGATTTGAAAAAGAGAAGTGTGTGTAAAATATAAGTGAAATATAATTATATTTTATTCATATTTTATTTACTTTTTCCTTTTTTCTTTTCCCTTTTACAACCTTAAAATATATTTTTAAAATTTATTCAAAATGATGTGGATATCATAATTTTTTTTTAAAGAATGCCACATTATTGAGGAGTTTAAAATCACTCATCTAAAATCCAACTGCCTGCCATATCATTAAGAATGAACTTAAAAATTATTGTTATAAAAATCTTTGATTTTTTCATAGATTAACCAATTAATCATAAGAAGAATTATAAACATGACCAAGGGCAGTCCACATTTTTTGAAAAGCCAACAAGGAGATCTTGGGTTGAAATAACAATCTGCCACAACATTTCCCCTTTCCTTTTTTCTTTTTTTTTCTTTTTTTTTGTTCCTAAACACAATGTTCATTTTTGCTTAGTGAGACGCCACTAGGCAGAAGATTTTGTTTAAGTAAATAAGCTAATGGAATTTTCAGAAATAAGAATCAAATTCATGAACAATGCCACCATTTATTGGTAAGAAAATGTTGAGCAAATGGACCTCAAAACATATCGTACAGCAACCTAAGAATATACGTGCATACCTCATTCCCATCTCAATTAGATTACAAATGCTTAGAACTGAAACTGTTTTGGAAAACAGCATGTGATAATCACAAAAGCATTTTTCACTTGATCTTCTACAAATGGTACAATATAAAAACAAAACCAGATGTCGAAAGAAAAAAAAACAGATCTGAGAAATTACATCAAAACAGAGGACACATACTTACAGCCACCAAAAAAAAAAAAAAATTAGACATCCTCCACAAAATAACAAGTGCTTGAAGATTATAAAGCTGTATGACAAAATCCCAACTAAAACTTTCTGGGATAACTGACAATATTACTAAACAAGTCCCAAATGGTTGTTACTTCAAAACCCCTCTTCTTCTTTGCTCTTTCAAGTCACTGGGGATAATAGATACAGAATCTACACAAAGCCCACCTTTGGAATGTGTGCAATCAATCTGTTTCATTGAAAATCTCACTTCGGTAGCGGGATCTGACTCCGTAACAATGAACTCCCCTACCTTGTACTGGATCCAACACCCACGCTTGTGGTTGCCATTTATATCATCGGGTTCATTATCATCTAAACAGCACTCGATTGATGCTTGCTGACCATCCGAAGTTGAAAACTCGAACCGTACTGGCTTTACAGACCAACCATGGGTGTGCTCAAAATTGCAAACACGACGTCCTAGTCTTTTTGAAAATCTTCCGAGGTGAATCCTGAATGACACAGTATATATACCTGCCGGAAAGGGAAACTTTACCACACCGTCTACTTCAAACCACCATATTTGCTGCAAATAGGCCACGACATTGAACCTGCAAACGGAGGACATATAAGATACACTGTTGAACTCTTAAAAAAAACATTACCCTTGGCCAAAAAATAAATCAGAAAATATAATCTCAGTAAACCGATTTAAATAACAACAAACTCTAGAAACCGGACAAGCAAATCAACAGCCCAAACTCCAAACTGCTAAGGTGACAATGGAAAGGGTTATGATGGAAGTTGCTTCAGCCATATAAGCAATAAATATCCATAAATTATGGACAAGTTTCTACTGCAAGTTTGCAACAATGAACCCAAGTTCAATCAAACTGTCTACCAAATAAGTACTGCACTCTGAACGGTTTTCACTTCATTATTACAAAGCTACAAAAGAAGATGAATAAATAGTTCAAGGTTCAATGATCAAAAAGTAATCCACTGCATTTAGCTCATTGTAAAGAAATATGACAAACCATCTTATAGGGTGGATTCTTTGTTCAAGAAAAACTCATTATTAATTACAAAGTATAGCCTGCACAAGACACAAAACTAAGTAGAGTCCACACTTTATTCCAACTACTAAAGAGAAGGAATTACAGGGAGCAAAAAGGGTCTAACCAATAAAAGAAATTGCAGCAACACTGCTTACAATATTCAAGTATATTATTACTTGATTTTGTATCCTACTAAACTTGGACTAAATGGCCAAGCTTAGGTGCTTTAATCTCTTTGAAAGATGATAAGAATTAAGCAATGACATAGTATAGACCAAGGAATAATCCTAGGTGATGAACTTCATCAAATTGTCAATTGACCAACACGGGGTTGAATCATAAGAAGAATATAAAGCATAAATTATTTCTGTTGTTATGTAGAGGAGTTATCTGGCCATTTGTATTCCCCTTGTAACAAATAGAGGAAATGTGACCTAGATTTTTCTGGTCATCTGGTCATCTGTATTCCCCTTGTTGCACAGAGCTAACATCATTTTCTTATTTCCTCCCCTCCCTGAAGGGAAGACTATTGCATGTTACAATTTTCAATTTACAAGAGGATATGAACAAAAGTCAGGGCCTACATCATGCGAAGAGCAACAAAGAAATAATGCTTAATCTTCATCCACTTTGGCTTGGTTTGGATCAGGCTATTTCAGCCTGGCAAAAATTGGCTTATTTTCACAACTTTCAAATTTGATCAAATTTTTGTTTTTAAGACTCCTCAAAAACACTTTCAATCAAATTTGGAAAAATAAATAAATAAGTTCTAATAAGACGAAAATAAGCCTATTATTCCCAACCTAAAATAGTTTGAACCAAACAAGGCCTTATTCAGATGAAATGATTTCACACTTTCAATTGCAAATGCCCCCCTTCTTTTTATTTAGCATCAATTAATAGCTGGAGTTATTTCAATCTATAGCAATAGTGCCAGTAACAGCAGAATTCCAATTATTCCACAATAGCCAAGGCAGAGTCCTCATATAAGCTTTAACTTTGTTCTACCCCTCTTCTGACAAGCTGAAAATGAAACGGGCAATCACCTCCAATTCTCTTATCTGCTGTAGACACCTAAAACTTCTCCATTTCCCCATTTCCCGAAGGAGCTCAGCTCAGGACACACTTTTTGAACTCCCCTGCCTAGCAAACATTGTGCAACCAGTCCAGCAAACCAAAATTGCAATAACAAAGTGACTGTTGAATTTGAATCAGCAGAGCAATTTTATTTTATTTTTATTTTTGGGGACAAGTCTTCAAGTCCAGTGAACTTACCAATCACACTTCAACTCAGCATCATCTAACTGCCATCTTTTAATGTGATATGGTGCCAAAGTTTTAGCCAAAATCCTAATACAATTTAGTCTCATTCTATGTTACCACAAAACGCTAATACCCTAACGAATTATGTATTGGTGCGCACGTTCCGAAACATGGTACACTTTCGTTCCAAAACAGTAAATTTAGTGATCCGAAGCAATCTCAAAAGATTTTTTCAATATGCTTCCTTAAATGTTACCTTAGGAGACAAAAATAAAATATATAAACTAAAATCCAAGGTGAGTTAAGTTTTGACAAGTCAAAAACATCAAAAATGGGTAATGATTTTCATAGAAATGATATGCTACATTAAAAAAAATATATATATATATATAAATATTATTAGAAGAGTACCTTAAATTCTTAAGTGTAATATATTTAAGTCTACTCCTATCATACCACATTTTAGAGCACGTTCCCGTTCCCGTTCCCGTTCCCGTTTCATATATTGGAACGATCCATGTTCTAGATAACATAGGTCTCATTTTCATTAAATACTTTTCTTTTATTTATAATCGAAATACTCCTATAACACCACATTTTAGAGCACGTTCCCGTTCCCGTTCCCGTTTCATATATTGGAACGATCCATGTTCTAGATAACATAGGTCTCATTTTCATTAAATACTTTTCTTTTATTTATAATCGAAATAATAATAAATAAATAAATAAAACTGGAAGGATAAGCACTCTAACGTGTACCACAATCAAGGTTGCTTGTTGGAATGTGTCCCACATTGCCTGGAGGTGCCCCATCTGTACTAGATATAAGGCTACAATTTCCCTCTTCTTAATACCTGGGTTGTAAGGAGAAGGGTGAGTTAGGCTTTCCAATTTGGTATCAAAACTTGGTTGGGTCTGTAGCTGGTATGCCGTTTGTCTGGCTACTGTATGCTGTGGTCCAGCAAGATGTGTTGGAATGTGTTCCACATAGCCTGAAGGTGCTCCATCTGTGCTGGTTATGAGGCTCCAGTTTCCCTTTGCTTAATACCTGGGTTTTAAGAAGTGTAGACTGAGCTTTTCAATTCAGCTGAGAGGGATTTTTTTCATTTAAAAAAAAAAAAAACTACTAAATATATTGCATAATGCTCTCGCTTTTATGTAACAGCTGCTCGTGGCCATTTTTGGAAATCAAAAAAACGTGTCCAGCAAGATGTGTTGGAAGGTGTTCCACATAGCCTGAAGGCGCTCCATCTGTGCTGGTTATGAGCCTCCAGTTTCCCTTTGCTTAATACCTGGGTTTTAAGAAGTGTAGACTGAGCTTTTCAATTCAGCTGAGAGGGATTTTTTTCATTTAAAAAAAAAAAAAACTACTAAATATATTGCATAATGCTCTCGCTTTTATGTAACAGCTGCTCGTGGCCATTTTTGGAAATCAAAAAAACGTTACAAGTCTATACCAAGTCAGTTTGCAGACTTTATATAATAATAAAATAGATTTTAACTAGCCTAACCCTGAAATTTGCCCTATTCAATAAACTATGCAACTCATGTAAAATCAACTATTCTCTGTAAGTCTTCCCGTTTCATTCTTATAATTTCAGCTCACCGTTCCTAAAAAGCTCAGATAAAAAACAAAAATGTCAGAACTTGCTTTGCATATTTACCAAACTTGTGCAATCTATGCAAAACTAAATCAATCTTCCTGATCCAAACCTCAGTACAACCTTATAATGTCATTTACTTTCAATACCTCATGTTGTAGGACAGCCAAAGAATAGAAAGAAAAAAAAAAAAGGGAAATTACCAATAGGTCCTACCTTTGAGACTTATTACCCATTAAGTCCTATTGATAAATTTATCACGTCTCTTATTTTTTTGAATAAATTTATCTATAAATTTATCAGTATCTTGTTTTTATAGTGATAAATTTATCAGTACGTAAATAAGTCTAGTTAATAGGTCTGATTGGTAAGTGCCCCTAGAAAAAATGTAACTGGGGAAAAAGAACACAGCAATCAAATAAACTCAACCTTAACCCTAGAAAGAAAAGAAATTCTCAATACTTAAAGCTAAATTCTCTCAATTAATTCATAATCAAAGCTGCATAAACCTAAATTATAGGCATCCAAAAAAATCCTAATAAAGTGTTTTCAAAATAAAAACTAAATTAAATACTGAAAATAACAATAAGACAATTTCCTTGAATCTAAAAAATAAATAAATAAATAAGACAATTTCCTAATTCCTTTCTTGTCCGCATCACCTCATCTTATACACCTACTTAAGTAACCAAACCAGTTCCTGACCACATCAACAAACTATATTATCATAGATCGTGTCAAGTGCCTCAACCAACATCACTTTGTAAAACAATTTACATGATAGAATATCATCTTATCAACTGAGAACTCTTGAAAAATCATACAGTATTCCATCCGAAAAAGACCCAGGACATTGAACAGAAATAAGGAGAACTCAAAGTGCTTCTACGAAGACCATAAGTCCGACCACATGGGCAAGAGTTCTTTTTTTGTTTTGTTTTGTCTTCCTCATTGAGTAAACAGTGCGTAGCCACTTTGTGCTCAGCACGCAATTGTGTTCTAGCCCTCGTATACAGGTAGAGCCAAGAGCCAAAGGAAATTTGACAAGGGTGTGACCCAACCACCTAATTTAGGCACATTAATTTGAGTTGGAATGATTATCTTCAACCACCTCAAGGTTTGAGACCAGTTCAGCATACGGAGATGGAATCAAAAGATGATCAGCTTGAGAAGAGTCAAGGAGATAAATGCATCACTGCATTTCCAAGATAAGAAACATTGAACATGAAAGTACAATCATGGAAAACCAATAATTGATACTGTCATGGGTATGTAATCCATAAAATCCAATGTTGAAAGAGTTTTTTTTTTTTTCTTTTTAAGATTTAATTGTCCAATATAATCAAAAGAAAAAGTGTGTCGTTGCATATTAAAATCAAGAAACCATAGACCATAATTCCCAGCTCTGCATCTAACAATAATCCCAGGATCTACCTGTGTCACCCCATGGACAAAAACCTACATGTAAGAACCTGAATTTTTTTTAGACAGCTAATTAATTTATTTAAGACAATATTACGTCATTTAATAGTGGTAATTAAATTATTAAATTCTAATGTTAGTAGCATCATGATTAATACTAATATTAAACTCTTTTAAATAAATTAATTTATCCTTTCTGTGTTAAATTTCTGTATCTAATTACAATTGTGACGTCCTAAAATTTGAGGACATCATAATAAGGTTTAA